ATCTCCTGAATCCACCGCAGACATCATTACAACGTTTGCTATATTTGATGACTACATCTTTTTGGATCCCTGTATTACTGCACATAAAAAAGAGGATATCGAATCACTCCACAGTGATCTAACCAGAATCATTTTTTCCATCTACATGGCAATTCATGATCTGAATTCTAAATTTCATGGAATCCACATTGGAGTTCAGTTAAGGCATTGATTTACAGCTATCAGCTCAAAAGCCGAGATACAACCACATCTCCTGTACTACCTACATTCTGCAAAATAGATCCAGTTGGAGTAGCAGTAACATCATTATTTCTCTTCAAACCGGATCCTAGAACGAGGATAAATCTCATTGTGAGTTAAACATCCATCTCTTTATTACACTTTGATGATGACTGTTCGTTTTTTCCTCCTTTTTTCTTTTTCCTCAATATACATTTTTTGAATACAGAGCTCTGTTTTCGTATATATACGGACACTTTCTCCGAAGTTAATTCACTGGTTAATACGATTATATCATATTCATTATAGAATTTAGGCCCTTACTGTCGGTTTTCTACAGCATTGTTTAGTATTTTTGACAGAATGCAGCCATATATATATGTTGGTCAATGTCTTGTTACCTTTTGATATATATGTTATACATTTTAAAATTTCTATAATAAATATATATATTTTTATAAATTATTTTGTGTACACTTTGAAAGAATGGTGGGATCCCCTTTCGGGGAAATCTGTGTTTTTTGTTAATATTAAAACAGGGGACCCACCCTTACTACACTATACAAGGTATACACCTTATAAAACCTTCCTATCCCCATTTTTCGTTTTTTCCTGATTCCAAATGCACTTGCCAGTGAGGAATGATAGTGAAAGCGCACTTCGCTCATTCTGGCCAGCGATTGGTTACCAATTTTCTCTTGGAAAGGTACGGCACCCATGATTGCCCTGATCACCCTATAAATAATCCCTGTCATTTTGGATTATTTAATTTGGATTTGCATTAACTTTGGATTGTTGTACATTAAAAAAAAAAA